GGGCAACATAACCTTGCCGACTATCTTTGTTTTTAGAGCTCCGGAGGGGCAACAAAACCTTCCGGTAATTATTGTTTTTAGAGCTCCGGAAGGGCAACAAAACCTTGCCGACTATAATTGTTTTTAGAGCTCCGTAGGGGCAACAAAACCTTCCGGTAATTATTGTTTTTAGAGCTCCGGAGGGGCAACAAAACCTTGCCGATAAATATTGTTTTTAGAGCTCCGGAGGGGCAACAAAACCTTCCGGTAATTATTGTTTTTAGAGCTCCGGAGGGGCAACAAAACCTTGCCGATTATTATTGTTTTTAGAGCTCCGTAGGGGCAACAAAACCTTCCGGTAATTATTGTTTTTAGAGCTCCAGAGGGGCAACAAAACCTTGCCGATTATTATTATTTTTAGAGGTCCGTAGGGGCAACAAAACCTTCCGGTAATTATTGTTTTTAGAGCTCCGGAGGGGCAACAAAACCTTGCCGACTATAATTGTTTTTAGAGCTCCGTAGGGGCAACAAAACCTTCTGGTATTTATTGTTTTTAGAGCTCCGGAGGGGCAACAAAACCTTCCGATAATTATTGTTTTTAGAGCATCGGAGGGGCAACAAAACCTTGCCGACTATCATTGTTTTTAGAGCTCCAGAGGGGCAACAAAACCTTCCGATAATTATTGTTTTTAGAGCCTCGGAGGGGCAACAAAACCTTGCCGACTATCATTGTTTTTAGAGCTCCTGAGGGGCAACAAAACCTTCCGGTAATTATTGTTTTTAGAGCTCCAGAGGGGCAACAAAAACTTGCCGATAAATATTGTTTTTAGAGCTCCGGAGGGGCAACAAAACCTTGCCGACTATTATTGTTTTTAGAGCTCTGGAGGGGCAACAAAACCTTGCCGATAAATATTGTTTTTAGAGCTCCGGAGGGGCAACAAAACCTTGCCGACTATCATTGTTTTTAGAGCTCCGGAGGGGCAACAAAACCTTCCGATAATTATTGTTTTTAGAGCCTCGGAGGGGCAACAAAACCTTGCCGAATATCATTGTTTTTAGAGCTCCTGAGGGGCAATAAAACCTTCCGGTAATTATTGTTTTTAGAGCTCCGGAGGGGCAACAAAAACTTGCCGACTATAATTGTTTTTAGAGCTCCGGAGGGGCAACAAAACCTTGCCGACTATTATTGTTTTTAGAGCTCCGTAGGGGCAACAAAACCTTCCGGTAATTATTGTTTTTAGAGCTCCGGAGGGGCAACAAAACCTTGCCGACTATTATTGTTTTTAGAGCTCCGGAGGGGCAACAAAACCTTCCGGTAATTATTGTTTTTAGAGCTCCGGAAGGGCAACAAACCCTTGCCGACTATAATTGTTTTTAGAGCTCCGTAGGGGCAACAAAACCTTCCGGTAATTATTGTTTTTAGAGCCCTGGAGGGGCAACAAAACCTTGCCGATAAATATTGTTTTTAGAGCTCCGGAGGGGCAACAAAACCTTGCCGATAAATATTGTTTTTAGAGCTCCGGAGGGGCAACAAAACCTTGCCGACTATTATTGTTTTTAGAGCTCCGTAGGGGCAACAAAACCTTCCGGTAATTATTGTTTTTAGAGCTCCGGAGGGGCAACAAAACTTTGCCGACTATTATTGTTTTTAGAGCTCCGGAGGGGCAACAAAACCTTCCGGTAATTATTGTTTTTAGAGCTCCGAAGGGGCAACAAAACCTTGCCGACTATCATTGTTTTTAGAGCTCCGGAGGGGCAACAAAACCTTGCCGACTATCATTGTTTTTAGAGCTCCGTATGGGCAACAAAACCTTTTTGAACATTACAAGTCGGGTTGGCTTACGATGACTATAATGTCGGCAAAACTTTTGTGGATTAAAATATTGTGGCCGTAAACGGTTTGATTTTGAAAAGGGCATTCCGGCCAGTGAGAGGGGCATGGCGGCAAATTGCCGATTGCCGGTGGGTAATTCGAGCCCTGGTGATACCTTTGGGGCCTATGTGCATTATTATTCCCTCTTTAATTACTTCTTCCAAATTATATTTTCAATATCAAATCAATTATATAACGAGTATTTATGAGACTCTAGAATAAAAACTGGCTGAGAAAAGGTATTTTGCCTAAAATTCCTCGTCCCAATAAACAAAAAAGTACCAGGGAATAATTTTCCTGGTATCGCATCGCAATTTGCTATGCATTTTTGCATGACTGCTATACAAAATATCTTTTGTGTAGCAGTTTTCTTCCATAGAAATGTACAGAATTTCATTTGAAATATTCATCCATCGCCTGAAATTGCTAATCAAAAAATTTGAGGAAAATTATTCCCTGAGTACGTATTGATAATAAACTATCACATTACGGTATCCTTAGACTAACTTTTCATTCGACTGTCAAAAAAAAAACACTCACCGGTTTTTCTTCAAAATAAGAATCTTTACAGAAATATGCAAATCGTTTGATGATCTACATTTGATGATGACACTATTTATTTTAGGAGAATTTATATATTTCTTTTTGAACAATTTTAGCCCCAAAACTTGTTTTGGGTTATTCTTGATAAATCAATTGGATTGTGACAAAGACTATGTTCTTGAGCTGCTAGTATCGCGATATATCGATATAATGTCTGTCATGGCTTTGTGAAATGGTTTATCCGCTTCAAGACATCTCCGTAGGTCGCCGACAAAGATATGACCGTCATGGAGTTGGTTTCGAGAAACGGCCCCCAGGGGGTGGCTCTTGTGCAGATTTTTTTTTTCAATTAAGGAAGGGGGGGGGGGGGTGGTGGGGGTGGTGGGGGTGGTGGGGAGGGCACATTTTAAAACATTTGAACTAATTACTTAAGGGGATATTTGAAGTCTGTTTTCAGACCGCAAAGGCGCAAATGCCTTCAAAGTGCATGGTTATTGCTCTTATTTCTATTTATGACATTTCTAGTGCCCTTTAAGGACCTAAAATTGCTATGAAGGTAATTTTAGACCCCAAAATGTGTGAAACGGGTCAAATTTTGGATACCCGGTAGGTTTCTGAACAAGCGCCGCCTAGACTAGGGTCTAGTTGTTCTATTCAACTAGGCGTTGTGGCGTGCGCCTGTAATCCAGCTAAAAAGTGGAAGTTACAAACTTATTCAGCCAAAGACGCAGGTTCGAAACTGAGTCACGTATTTTGGATGGTGACGTTTAAAGGTCGGTCTCCAGACGTAAATATTAGGGACTTTTCGATTTGCACGTTCATAAGTGGACTGTGACGTATGCGGTCATTTTTAAGCAGGGTTGACGTAGCCTTAAGGGCTCTCTCGAAATGTTTTTTTAATGATATTATTCGAGAGAGCCTTAACTTGCTCCCATACCCCTGCACGGAGAGGCATGTAAACAAAACTCAAAAGTGGTCCAAAATCACACTTTCGCGCACCCGACCAATATTGGACAGTGGCTTTGATAAATTTTGTCGTAGTTTTGGTCTTAATTACCGCCTTAATTTCAAAATCGGATCTGAAAATAACAAAATAAGAGCAATTTTCTTACCAGACCGATACAGCTCAGCTCCCTTTTCATGTGTACCGTGTGAATTCACGATGTCTACACAATGGTGATGACCTCTGACTGGCACTTCCGTAATTGTGCTGCTTCCGTATAATGCGCTGTATGAGTGTTATTCAGCGCATTATACGGAAGCAGCACATTTACGAAGTGCCAGTCAGAGGTCATCACCATTGTGTAGACATCGTGAATTCACACGGTACACGTGAAAAGCGAGCTGAGCTGTATCGGTCTGGTAAGAAAATTGCTCGTATTTTGTTATTTTCAGATCCGATTTTCAGATCCGATTTTGAAATTAAGGCGGTAATTAAGACCAAAACTACGACAAAATTTATCAAAGCCACTGTCCAATATTGGTCGGGTGCGCGAAAGTGTGATTTTGGACCACTTTTGAGTTTTGTTTATATGCCTCTCCGTGCAGGGGTATGGGAGCAAGTTAAGGCTCTCTCGAATAATATCATTAAAAAAACATTTCGAGAGAGCCCTTAAGGCTAGGTTGACGAGGCACGCTGACTATTGTTCGTTACCTTTTCGATTTTACACAACTACGACGCTCGCTTAGTGAGCGCGAAACTCGATCGAATAGCTAAAGATATAACACCAAATTCGGTGCATGGCACTGTTTTAAAAAATTATGCTGCAACAGATTAGCGTTGAATAAATAAAATGTGTTCATTTTATGAATTATTCTGCTTAGATCTAGTGAGCCCGAAATTCGATCGAAAAGCTTAAGATTCAACACACCAAATTCGGCGAATGGGACTGATCTCAAAATTTATGCGGCAACAGATTGGCGATGCACAAATAGGCCTAAAATGTGTTCATTTTATGAATTATTCTGCAACAATTTTGATTTAAGGGAAATTACACACACGAAAATGTGTTAATTTAAGAGAATTCACGGCTTCCACCACTCTACGGTTCTAGAATTAGGACAATTGGGTTCATTATGTGACTTCTATGAGATGTTTCGTGCCTACAAAAGATGCTTACGAACATGTATCGTCACAGTTTGCGAACGACGGCAAAACAAGGGCGAACAATGGCAAAACAAGGGCCAACGCGTTCGAGAATTCTGCTACGAACGATGAGCTCGTTGAGGCGCATGCGCACTGGTTCAAAACTTGACCGCATAGAGTCTACGTCGCAGTCCATTAGATCTAGTGAACGTGCTAATCGAAAAGTCCCTAATTAGGCCTAGACCCTATCTGATTGATACACGTCTGTAAAAACCCAGGCCTACACAGACACACACATATTCTATTTCTAGCTTGTCCGTAGCCTACTTGACCTCAGACTGAGTCAGACTCAGAGTGACCCTAGACCCTAGGCCTAGAATCTACTCCCGAGAACCTAGCCTAGAATAGATCTAACTGTTAGATCTAGATCTAGGCTACTTTTATTTTTAATTTTAATTTTAATTTATTTCGAGTCGAAAGTCAAAAGAGACTGTATTCAAAAGACATCTTAGTTCTTACCTCCATAACTATTCTTCCAACGGCCTGGCCATCGGCTTGAATGTCGAAGAAAACTTTAGGTAAAGCCATACTGACAGTTGCAAACTGACGTCGAGAAACAGCAAAAAGAGCAATTTTGACCCACGTGTTGTTAGCTGACTGCAGCGTAGATTGTACTCAAGACGGAAAGACGGTACGGCGGTTCGGCGCGGCGCGTGTGAGCTGTGTGGAAATCATTCGTGTGCAGAATGAATGCGATAGTCCTAGCAGTATTGGTCTAAAAATAGCGCCGCATTTCCTTAGCCTAGCTCAAGTCGCTACCATTTGTTTGAGAATGTGAGAGCGTAGGGTAGCATTCAAAGAGAATTTATTAAAATTAAGAATAGCACTTTGTTAGTTCAATCATTAACTTGTTAAGTCACTTCCCTCTCGTAAGTGCCAAATCGTAAGCAATTTTAAGAGCGATGCCAATGGCCATGTCGTCGATCATGTGGTGCAATAATATGAAATAGTTAATATCGTCAAAAATTGAGCTGGATATTTGTTTGAAAGGCCATATGCACTATATATTCTTCTGGGGGAGGGGGTCTGAATTTCTTTCTTGTCAAAGAATTATGTTTATTATTTAGCTTCTATTTTAAACCGAAGCTTTCAAATATTTGATTGAGGGGCTTTCGATTCCATCTTCATTTTGAGGGAGACGGTGCAAGAATCTTCAGGATCTGGAGGAGGCAGATTATAACGAAGAAGAAGAAGAAGCTTAAGCTTGAATCTTTAAAAACCTGTAAAAAGGCTCAAAATGATCTCTAAAAGGCTCCCTATGCTTGGCCTTCATGATCATCATTCAGTGACGCCTCTTCTTATATCATAAATCCATTGCTTTAAAATTAACACAGGATCGTGCATCCATCCTATATAGATCTGGGCCCTGTGTTTCATAAAACTTGATATCAATAACAAGCTACAAGCTAGATTTATAAGCTACTGAAATCATGGCATCTGATTGGCTGAGAGCAAATTTGTCCGAAAGAAATTTAGCATTTGTTATTGATAAAAGGTTTTATGAAACGGGCTGGCCGGGTCGGGTCAGGTCGGAGCTAAAGCAGTGCTTACACATTTTTCTCCTTCATAAATGAGACGTTGTTACCTGGGGTTGTTACTTGTTACTGAATTGCCAACTCCCCAAGCCCCCCCCCCCCCCCCAAAAAAAAGGGAAAAAAAAGAAAATGGTCTAGGAACTTTTATATATATATATATATATATATATATATATATATATATATATATCAATAAATCGATAAATCGAAATTGTCAAGAGGGGCAGAAAACAGGTGGTCCGCCCCCCCCCCTCCCCCCTCCCCCCACACACACACACGATTCGCTCCTTGGTAAAGAATTTAATAAAGTAGCAGATTTGTCCTGAACAAAAAATTCTTATCATCGGTTGCCTTGATGGAGACTAATACTCTGAGGAGTCTTGATATCCCTTCGCGTGGTGATTCCCTCCGCAAGACCGTCCGACATTCCCGCGCATGTGCAGTTGTAACACGCGGTTATAGTCTGCACTTCAAAGACTCTTTGTCCCTCCAACTCGAAGAGCTGAACTGAAACGCCCAAAAGCTAGAAAAACTAAATGAATGATAAATAAATATATAAAAATAAATTATATTTGAGCTCGAACCTGTCCGTTACCTCATCTTACCCACAAGACTTGACCCCTCAAATTATTCAGACCATGTGTCAGCCTCGGACCGTGCGGCCGTCGAGCACTCGCCCCAACTGGCCGCCCCCCGCCGAACCAGACCCCGGCCCCTCCCCCACTCCGGGGTCGGAATGACCGCATGCATGTTACCAAAATGTCCGGTAAAGGGGTACTTTTCAAGCACCAATGTCCGGCTCGTAGTACACAAAAATCTAACCCGTATTGACTTTACACTCCGGAATTTGGGGGTCAGTTTTCAAAAGGAGGGAACACGCATATGCGTACCCTAAATAACACTGATAACACGATTTTACCCTATCTAACCCGTGAACCAAATTTTGTAAGTATAGAAAATATTATGACTAGATATGTTGTATATAATTGTCAGGATTCTCACCCCCGATCACATGTGTGGAAAAACGTACATTTGCAATAGGCTCGCCCTATTTGAAATTAACGCATTGAAGAAAAATCCAAACCTATGATCTTTTCTTCCATTCCATTCCATTCCCTTCCCTTCACTTCAAGCGCGTAGCCTTAGGGGGGGTGGTATAGTGAGCACGCGAATCACTTACAGAGCGCGCGTAGCGCGTTCCCGGTAGGGGGTGGGTGCAGGGAGGGGGTAATTCCCCCCCCCCCCCCCCCCCCCCCCCCCCCCCTCTCGCGCGCGAAGCGCGAAAGCTTTGACGTTTCATTAGATTACTAGAGAAAGAAGGCGATTCGTTGTACCGTCGGACTCTTAATCCTTGTCTAAATTCAGTTTCTATTGACGTTTCATTAAATTATTAGAAGACGAATCGTTGTACCGTTCTCGACTCTTAATCCTTGTTTGAATCGAGTTCCCCTTCCTCCGCGCGTAGCGCGAAAGTTCTGACGTTTCATTAAATTAAGTTAAAGAAAGAAGACGGATTCGTTGTACGATTCTCGACTCTTAATCATTGTCTGAATAGAGATACCCCCCTCCCGCACGAAGCACGGAACCCTTGACGTTTCATTAAATTATTAGAGAAAGAAGACGTTTCTTTGTACCTTGACTCTTAATCCTTATCTGAATTCAGTTTTCCCCCGCCCCTCCCTCGCAAAGCTAGGAAGCCTTGACGTTTCATCAAATTATTAGAGAAAGATTGAAGACGATTCGTTGTACCGTTCTCGAATCTTAATCCTTTTTCTTCCTACGTCCTCTTCCTTTCTTCTTTCTCTCTCTTTTTTTTTTTTTTTTTTTGGCCGGCGATTTAGTGGGGCGACCGCCACCACCGCTCCACCCCCCCCCCCCCCCCTGGCTTCGCGCCTGCTTCCCTTTCTTTCCTTTTCTTTTCTTTTCTTTTGGTTCTGTTTGGTTTTGTACATATATTTTCAGCAATGTCCGTCATTGTAACGCGGGCATCTTATTTTGTCATTGTATATTAAATTATAAAATATGTTGGTAAGCTGAGCTGTGTTTCCTTATAACGCCTTATTTTATTCATCACGTAGACTAGTCATGCTATTACGCCCAAAGAATTTCAGATCATACGCGATAACATGTAGTTCCAAATGCTGCATAATAAATTATTTAATGTGCGGGTAATTATGCCGAATAAGGACAACGGGGTGGGGGTAGGTCTATGTTTAATTTTGTTAAGTGCTCTGACTTCTCTTTCTCATAAAATGCCTGTGTTTTTCTTTCATGACAGTGCGAAAGGTAATAACTGTGTCTTGTAAAAATAAAAGAAATATACACTTCCGGGTTTCCCTCGTATGGCTGCGCTATTCTAGTGAAGCTTTTCTTCACACACCTGATCGGAGATGAAGGTAGCCCATCCAATGTGTAAAAATTGCCAATTTGATAAGTGTAAGGATCGCATTGTACACGTACATCCGCTATACTACACACACGCAATATATTCTTTGTGTATTGTATCCATCAGGCATGATCAGTGCAACGATGGCTGGCTACCAATTAAAATAGGCATGGTGGTAGGATATAATGAGATTAGATGATGGAGGGGGGGGGGGGGGTAAAGCGCAGTACTTAGGGGCAAATCAAAGAATTATACTAAGACCTCACCTCATTTATGTTAGAAATTAAAACGTTATTATCTTCTTTCGAATTGCAATATATCCCGCACCATAATTATAAGCATGTCATGCATATATATTTATTTATGCATGTTAACAATTTCACAATTCATTGAAGTTAACATCACATGAAAATTAATATAAGATGACAAATCATTTTCAATTTTACAATACATTTGAATTAACTTCACGTGAAAAAGAATATATCATTGTTTTATCAAAGACAAGTTGCAACTTATATACAGTTTGAAGAATGAACACACAAAGGTGATGAAACATAAGCAAATAGAGCTTGAATAGAGCTTGAATATATATGCCTTTTCTCTGGGAAAGGGGGCATTGACTCTTTAAATACCAAATCACATAAACTATTCACCATTATGTCACCGTCATGTACATATTTTCTATGGATATAATTTTTCACGATCTCAACTTTTCACCACCCTAGCGTCATGTAAATTGTCAATTATGGATAAAGTGGAATATTAACTCTTCACCACCCTACGCTAACTTTTCACCACCCTTCCGTTATGTACATTGTCTATTGATTATTAACTCTTCACCACCCTACGCTAACTTTTCACCACCCTTCCGTTATGTACATTGTCTATGGATAAGCTGGCATATTAACTCTTCACCACCCTACGCTAACTTTTCACCACCCTTCCGTCATGTACATTGTCTATGGATTATTAACTCTTCACCACCCTACGCTAACTTTTCACCACCCTTCCGTTATGTACATTGTCTATGGATTATTAACTCTTCACCACCCTACGCTAACTTTTCACCACCCTTCCGTTATGTACATTGTCTATGGATTATTAACTCTTCACCACCCTACGCTAACTTTTCACCACCCTTCCGTTATGTACATTGTCTATGGATAAGCTGGCATATTAACTCTTCACCACCCTACGCTAACTTTTCACCACCCTTCCGTTATGTACATTGTCTATGGATTATTGACTCTTCACCACCCTACGCTAACTTTTCACCACCCTAGCGTCATGTACATTATCTATGGATAAGCTGGAATAATAACTCTTCACCACCCTACGCTAACTTTTCACCACCCTACCGTCATGTGCATTGTCTATGGATAAGCTGAAATATTAACTCTTCACCACCCTACGCTAACTTTTCACCACCCTAGCGTCATGTACATTGTCTATGGACAAATGGTAATATTAACTCTTCACCACCCTACGCTAACTTTTCACCACCCTAGCGTCATGTACATTATCTATGGATAAGCTGGAATAATAACTCTTCACCACCCTACGCTAACTTTTCACCACCCTACCGTCATGTGCATTGTCTATGGATAAGCTGAAATATTAACTCTTCACCACCCTACGCTAACTTTTCACCACCCTAGCGCCATGTACAGTGTCTATGGATAAACTGGAATATTAATTTTTCACCACCCTACACTAACTTTTCACCACCCTAGCACCATGTGCATTAATTGTCTATGGATAC